ATCTTCATACCTGAAATATCATACTTGGAAACTAAACTCAGGCTTAGCACCCCCTATCTGTCATGCAAATTACAGGTGATCTGAAAAGTTCCTGAGTTGACTGTGATGTCTAGTTTTGGCCCAGTAGGGCACATGGGACACTACCCCACTTCAGGCAGCCCATCTCATGTGTCTTCTTGAGGCAAAGGCCCCATCTTAAGTTCAACTTACATTGAATTCCCAGCCTGACACTGGCTGTGAAAAGTGTGCATGCAGGCGTGCAGCTTGGGGATGTTCCTGGATTAGTTTCTGAGCCTGGATGTCCAGGTTTCAGCAGTGGTTAGGAGTGCTTTTGCACAGTTAAACCTAGTTAAATTTTGTGTGCCAGCTGCCCCCGTTCCTGGAGAGGTCTGATCTGGCCACGGTGACATATGTCTTAGACTGTGGAATGTCTTAAGAAACCTCAGTGGGTCCAAAATGTTGCAGCCAGGTTGTTGACTGGGGCTGGTAACAAGGACCACATAATATCTGTTATAGGAGCTCTTTGTTGTTGTTGTTTAGTCATTTAGTCATGTCTGACTCTTTGTGACCCCATGGACCACAGCACACCAGGCCCCCCTGTCCTCCACTGCCTCCCAGACTTGGTTCAAATTCATGTTGGAAGCTTCAATGACACTGTCCAGTCATCTCGTCCTCTGTCGTCCCCTTCTCCCCCTGCCTTCACACTTTCCTAACATCAGGGTCTTTTCCAGGAAGTCTTCTCTTCTCATGAGATGGCCAAAGTATTGGAGTCTCAGCTTCAGGATCTGTCCTTCTAGTGAGCACTCAGGGTTGATTTCCTTTAGAATGGATAGGTTTGTTCTCCTTGCAGTCCAGGGGACTCTCAAGAGCCTCCTCCAGCACCACAATTCAAAAGTATCAATTCTTCGGTGGTCAGCCTTCTTTATGGTCCAGCTTTCACTTCCATACACCGCTACTGGAAAAACCATAGCTTTGACGATGATGACCTTTGTCAGCAAGGTGATATCTCTGCTTTTAAAGATGCTGTCTAGGTTTGTCATCGCTTTCCTCCCAAGAAGCAGGCGTCTTTTAATTTCAGGGCTGCTGTCACCATCTGCAGTGATCATGGAGCCCAGGAAAGTAAAATCTGTCACTGACAACTTAGTGCCTACTACTACTCCTCTCTCTCTCTCTTTCTCTCTCTGAATATCAACTCCTTCTAGAGCTATGTCTGTTCCCCCCAACTTCACCCACTTATATTTACTGTGTCTTTTGTCCCACAGTTCCAGCAGGCATCAACTCTCATAGCTTCAGTCAGCCAGCAGGGTTTGCCACGTCTTCTCCCTGTCCCTGTCTTAAGGCCCATGGTTGGAGAGTCATCTTGAGGTGGAGTGGGGCACCTCCTAGATGGATTTTCAAAATCAAATATAACTGTTTACTAACTAGGATGTGTCAAGACATGCCAAGAGCATGAGAAATGTTTTCGCACCTGTTTCTTTTGCCAAAAGGAGAGAAAGTGGTGACTCCTTCTGAATGCTCTCTGACCTTTAAGGACACACCTAAAAAGGGGTTCCGGATGTGGCTGAGGACTGCAACTCTCCCTCCAGGCTGTGTCTACTCCTTTTTTTGCCTGCAAAGCAAGGAGGAAGAGGCTGCTTCCTGCATCGCCAGTAGCTCTTGCAGTGGACTTGCTGATCTGTTTATACAAGTGTCTGAATACCTTCGAGGTGGTGCATGCTTGCTAGTATATTACAGTCCATGTGAAAGAAGAAACAAGTGTCATGTTTGTACCTCTGACTGATAATAAGCACCATTCAAATAAGAATTTTACAGGGACCACAGATTGTAAGATATTGTGCAAGCTCTTGGTATGTAAATCAGACTGGATGCTCAAGAGATGAACTAAGTAGGGATAAATTAAATGAATTTGCCCTAATGCTTGAAGCACCAGAGTTTCACTTTCTTAGAGAAAATTGTATCTTTAAAGGGTGGGAGGTCCGACTTTTGACAATCTTCTCCCTGCAGTTTGAGAACCCTCTTGTATGGTTAAATTTTGCTACTCTTCGAAGCTGATCTAATTACACAGGCAGTGCTGATCCATTAACACAAAATCTGCAGTGTGAATAACATAGTTCCTTTCATGGGATTTTAAGCTTCCAACATGTGGCTAACACTCTTAACACTGTTTTTTTGGAAGGATGTAGTAAAGACATATCCCTTCCACCTGGCCTTTTAAATTATTTTGATTTGTAATGATTTAATTGTTTAATTCGTTTTTAGTAATATTGCCTGCTTGGAGTGTTGTTTTTTGTAGAAAAGTGGGGTACTTGTCATGTAAAAATAAATTATTGTCTGATGTTTGTTTTGCTCCTGATCTGCTGTGTTGCAGGGAATATTCAGATCTGCTTTGTTAAAACAACAAACCTTTGAATTTAAAAATCCAACTGCCAGGAGTTGGAAATTTCTTATGAAAGCCATGTGTTTAAATCTCTAAAATCAGCTTTGACAAGTCAGGAAGTGGCTGTTTTTTGACAGTTAAAAAAAGCATAGGGATCAGTCAAAGGTCAGCAAAACCCCATTCAAGGCATGTTGAGTGTCTTCCTCAGCGCTGTCTTTGTTTGGCCATCGGCTGTATTGTGTCTGTACCCCTTCGTCTCCCAGTCTTTAGGATTATTAGTACAAAAATCCTTCCAGGAATCATAATGAGTAAACACATTAGTAAAACTTTAGTGAGACAGTGTCAAAACATAAACCATTCATCAGGATTCTTCTCACATCACCAGAATCTTGTTCTGGGAGTGTGGAGAGGGGAAAATAGTCCAACAGTACCTGAACCAGACCCTTGAGTCTTCCTGTCTTTCCTCCCACAGGACAAAAGGTTTGAGGAAGAATTCTGGTGTTGTATAATGGTCTTTGATCCTAATTCCAAAATGTATTCAGCTTTATTTTATTTTAATGGGCCATTTTCCCTGTAAGTTCTAAACAAACTGCCATCTGTTTATATTTTTGTGGTGGACTGCAAATACAATAGTTAAAAAAGGGGGGCGAGGTGAGTTTTTGTTTTTTTAAAAAATTCTCCGTTCAAAATGAGAGACAGTGGAAGAAATCGCGGTGTATTTGGGTGGGCAGGGTGTGACCAAATTTAATGGCAGTATACAAACAGGTCTTCTAGCTTCCCTTCTAGGCTCTAGACCTTGATACTGTAAGACTAGAAATGGACAGTGGCATGACCAGCTTCAATGTCTTTATTGTGCCCACAATTCCACTCTGATCCATATGTATGGGTACTGAAATCAGAGCAGCTCCTGCATATTTATGCATGTCAAGAGCATGGCTTTTGTGTGTGGGACAGTATCAGGTGCATGAGAACCAGTTACAGATCTTTTTTTGCTAATGGTGGATACTGGTTTCTACTCTTATTAGGTACTTTTCAAAAAGCAGTTTTTTGGTCATTAATCATATAGATCAGTGATGGCGAACCTATGGCACGCATGCTACAGCTGGCATGCAGAGCCGTCTCTGTGGGCTTGCGAGCCATCAGTCACTGGATCACTACTCCGACATCCAAACCTGAGGAGGTGGCAGCAGCCGAGCCATAAGTCACTGGATCGCTACTCCGGCATCCAAACCTGAGGTGGCAGCAACTGCAGTACTAGTGCCCTGACAGGTGGTGGGCCAGTATCCGGAGCAGCTGGTGGGCCGGTCGAGCTATAGGCAGTGGTGGGGTAGAGCATCCGAGCTATAGGCAGTGGTGGGGTTGAGCACAACTGAAGGCGGATCCAGAGTGGGGTCTGGAGGCACCTCTGTGCCTGGGATTCATGCTTCTGCTGCCACGTCCGTCGCCACCGCTGCTGCATGCCACCTGCTGGGTTGTTTTGTGGGTTGTTTTGTTTTGTTTTGTTTTTGCAGTTTGGGCACTCGGGCTCGAAACGGTTTGCCATCACTGATATATATGCTTCTATGGGATTCTCCATGGGGTCACGAAGAGTCGGACACGACTAAACGAGGACGATGGGATTCTTGTATATGCTCCCCTAAGGTTCAATCCTGAGAGTGGTAACACAGCCCAACAAATAAGAGTGAGATTATAATCAGCAGGGATAATTATAAAAATGAATGTGGCCATGTTTCCTTGCATAAATGATTAGAGGAGACTGAAAACACAAAGGGTATGGTTTTGTTGCCATTAGTGTTACAATGACGTCTCTGTCTATTATTATCACAACCCTTTTTCTGCTGGACTTAATTGTGTACGCACCCAGTCTGGGTACATTTGACAGAAGACAGGGAGATGGGTGCTGGACAGATCGCGTAAATTTTTACTCTAGACTAGATTTTGTGCTCTCTTCAAACCTTAATACCATGGTGTGTGGGTTTAGCTGCTTCAAGCTTTGGTGGGGGTCAAGAAAGACAAACTGTCTAGTTCAGAAGTTCCTCATATTGACTTGGATCTTGGGTGGTTTTCATGAAAGTCAAAATCATGGTATGATTGGGGCAGCCCACCCACCCGACCACTCATTTTCCTAACCAGAGGGTGCAAGTGAATGCCTGATATCCTCTCTGGATATAGTGATGTATCTGCAAGCTTGGATTCTGGGCCTTCCTGGTGCATCTTGGTTAACTGCGCACTTTCTATTCCCACAGATGGCCTCAGCCAATGATACCCGGCAAACACCCAAAGATGCTGCTGACCAGAACTTTGACTACATGTTCAAACTGCTAATCATCGGCAACAGCAGTGTAGGCAAGACATCGTTCTTATTCCGATACGCTGATGACTCCTTCACTTCGGCCTTCGTTAGCACTGTGGGCATTGACTTCAAGGTCAAAACTGTCTACAGGAATGAAAAAAGAGTCAAGCTGCAGATTTGGGTAAGAACTGCTCACTCTTAAGGTGAGAAACAGGTAGTACCATGGATGACCCTTTCACAGAAAAGGGTAAGGAGTGTGCTTGGTTTAAATTTGCTATGTTAAATGGACTTTGTTGGCACATCATCTGCTAATATACAAATCAGAATGCAAGTGGTTGCCTCTCACAGGAGTTAATGGAGACCCTGATCCACTGGCACAGTTATTCTTGCTGCTTTTTGAATTGCCATGTGTGGAATTCCTGGAGGATTCTGATCTATCATGCTAAAGAAAAGTTAGAGAATGTGGTCTTTCCAAGATGTTGTTGAACCACAGCCCCCTTCAGCTGTAGCCTGCCAAGCCAGTGTGGAGAGACAACAAAAGTTCGAGTTCAGCAGCATTTAGAGAGCCACACACTCCCCCCGCCCCAAGATGGAATATGCACCGTCACCTATGAAGTTCTGTATATCTGCTCAGCAGGATATAAGCAGCTGCTGTGAAGTCAGCAGCTTCTTCTTGACTTCTTCACTTTCATATTTTGCTTATGATACCAGACTGGATTTGAATCAAATCATCTGAATGGGTAATCATTTGTTGCACAACCTGGCAGATTGGCTTGCATCACTGGGCCAGCAAAGGTTCATTAAAGATCACTGCAGACGGATACCTGTGCTGATTTTTCCCCTGACTGTTCCTGGGCCCAGGGTACACCTTGACAGACAAAGTTTCCTGTGTCTTTGTTCATGCTGTGCTCAAGCCATCTCCCGGAGTGGCCCTTGAGCAGCAGCTAGAGTGCTAGAAGTAGTGTACATGGGAAAAGGTACCATTGTCTGTTCCAGCCTGGCTCCTTTTCCTACTGGGTTGTTCCACCCAAATTGCAGTTGTCTGGCTGATTCCATATCTCTGCTGTGTGTGCCAGGGCAACAGTCGACAGCATATGAGGATGGTTTGCTGTGTGCCGAGTGTGCCCTTATATACAGGCAAAGTAGAAAGACTGGGGAGGAATTTGAAGTCTGGTTACTGATCGCACACTGACCTGCAGCTCAAGGGTCTTGGTTCAGAAATGCGTAATTATAGTCCACTAGATCTTTCTGGATTGTAACTTAACCCATCACTGTTGTCTATGTGAACTAGGGCTGATAGGAATTGTAAGCCAAAAACATCTGGACAAAAACCGTTGCCTACCCCTGGTGTCACACTTGTTTGAGTTACTGTAAAAATGGTGTGTGGAATCCTGCTGCTCTGATAGTTTCTCTTATGAGCCCAGGCTGCTGTTTCAGAACATTGGCTGACTTGAAAAAAAAACGGACCATCTGACAGCTGGATGATAATACTGTGCAAATACTAGACATTGTGGCTGTTTTGTACTTAGCAGCTGCTGGCATCGGAACAGGAGGCGCTCAAAGGGGCTAAGGCTTCCAAGGAAGGGACTGTTTTCCCTCCTAACGGCCATCGTTGTCTCTAAGGTAGTGGTAGCCAGCTGTCCAAGCAGTAGCAATTCACACTGCGTTTGAGAAAGGATATATTTGCTCAATGGGTAAATTTCCCTTAAAGGCTGGGAGCTGAGCTGCAGTAGAAAGGTCACTGCATGGTCAGTCACAGCAGAGGTAGACAGGCTGCCCAACATGTGAAGCAACATGCCGCTGGAGGTCTGAGGTAACCTGGAGAGGTGGCTCTGAGATAGAAGTTTACTTTAATTTACAGAGGTGACTCTGATGTTGAACGGCTCCTCCAATTTAACAGTGGTAGCTCAAAGGCAGTACAGTTCCTCTGACTTTCAGAGGTGGTTGTGAGGTACAAGGGTTCCTCTGACTTTCAGAGGTGGCTGTGAGGTACAAGGGTTCCTCTGACTTACAAAGGTGGTTCTGGGGTAGTATGGTTTCTCTAACTTACAGAGGTGGCTCTGAGGTATTACAGTTCCTCAGACTTCCAGTGGTGGATCAATAGTAGATGGACTCATCTGTCTTACAGAGGTGTTCCAGCCCCCTACAAGTATTCCCACAAGTTAGCCTTTATCTCGGGGCAAATTTTGTAGCACGAATCAGTGATTGAGCTCTGCAAGATACTTTCCTGTAACTGCTCCAAACCAGAGACGTTGGGGAATGCAGCCCGCAATGGCAGAAATAAGAAGGGATGAGTGCCAGTTGTCAGATTGGCAGCATATAAAACCTTGGAGTTGGTGTTGCAGAGTCTGGGAGGGCTTTCATGGACCAGGCCCTGAGGTAGAAGGTTTCCTCTGACTTAAAGAGGTGGCTCTGAGGTAGTACGGTTCTGCTGACATTGTGAATTCTACTATATAGCCATGCCTGGATGGTATCCAAAACCCACTGTTCACTGGCAATGGAATACCAAGCAGTGAGGAAAGGTGCTAGTTGGATGGCGTTGGTGAGTGCCAAAGAAAGAACTGAAATCCTACAAGAAAGGGACTCAAAGATGATGCTTTGTTTTCTTGTTTCCCCGTTTGGAAGACTAGGTGGGCTGAAAGCATGGTTTGTGAAGCTGTTGTTGAGCATATTAAGGAGTGTATGCAGGTGGAGGGCAGTCTCTGCCAGGAGGTAACCTGAAGCAGGTAGAGGAATAGTGTTGTCTCCAGGAGGATAGTATGACCTCAGTCTGGTTTAACTGGAGAAGCTCATCCATTTATTGGCATTATGCTTCTTAAACAGGTTAACCATATAATCATTAGTTTTGGTATTAAAGAGACACTACACATCAAAGAGAGGGTCTTCTGTACGCTCCCTCGAATCCTCAGATATGCCTGCAGCTGGGAGCCACATTTATCTGCATAGAGTGACAGGCACAGCCATATACTTTTCTGAGCCATCAGGAGCATGTTGGGCAGCATGCACCTCTTGAGTAGCAAGAGTGAGTGCTTCCTGCTAGAGCATTGTAACCAAAGTGTTCTGGTCCTCCGGTAAGGTATCTGTTACCATCTGCATCCTCCTCCAGATGAATTCATGATAAGCCCCCATTGAGGCCTGGTAGTTGGTGATTCTGATGTTTAGGGCTGCGATAGAATAGATTTTTGCATCTAATATTGTTGAGTTTATGGTCCTCTCTGCTGGAAGGGGTGGAAATGCTGCTGCCTCTTGATCATGTCTGAGAGGCTTCCACAATTATTGCATTTGGAGATGGGTGCTTTAGTAAAAATGTAGTACCCTTGTCATGGACCTGGTACATGTTTGCTATCCTCTGCAAGGTTGCAGGCAAGGATGAAGGCTTTTGTGTTCTCAAAGGCTTTGACGGCTGGGATCCAATGGTTGTTGTGGGTTTTACAGGCAGTTTGGCCAAGTTCTGGAGGTTTTTCTTCCTAACATTTTGCCAGTCTCTGTGGCCGGCATCTTCACAGGACAGGAGCTAGAACTCTATCTGTGTTCTGGTGTAGTGTGTGGGATTGCTGAGTATTTGTTACTGTGGGATCAGGATTTTGTTCTTTTCAGGAGATTGGGTGTTTCCTATGATCAGGGTGTTTTTTGTTATGGGTCTTTTGTTGTGATAAGGGGGGAGATGATCTGTGTCACTGTGATTGATGGGTGTTGTTGGCTAGTCTTTTGTGTGCAGTGATCACTGGTCCTAGTGGCTAGAGTTTATTGACTTTTTTTGCAGGCTGTATTTTTCAATACTGGGAGCCAGGCTTTGTTGATTTTTAGACTTTTTTCTTTTTTGTTGAAGCTGTGCTGGTGTTTGTGGATTTCAATGGCGTCCCTGTGTAATCTAACATAATGGTTGCTGGTGTTGTCCAGTACTTCTGTATTTTGAAATAGGATTTCATGCTACATTTTGTGGTCCCAATATATACCTGGCCACAGCTGCAAGGTATCCAGTATACTCCTGCACACTTGGATTGTAGAATAATTAGGGGACTCACAAAGAAAAGGGAGTTCTGAAATCAGTGACTTCTACTGAAAGCAACTTGCAAAAATAAGGGAAAGAACAAAAAGCAAGAAAGGCTGGAAATAAGACTCTGATTTTAAAATGAAGGAGGCTCAGAAATAAAAGTAATCCCCTGGAATTAGTGTCTCTAAGCAAAAGAAGAGGTGGCGGAATGGGGGTGGGTGGGGAGTAAGGTGAAAATTGATCCTGAAATACTCACCCATATCTTCCCCAGCCACAAGAGTTGTTTTAGATAAATAAAAACATTGAAAATAAGAGCCAAGTACCCACTTAAAGAACAGGCTTGCGGGGGGGGGGGCAAGGAAGTGAAAAAATAAATTAATCCAGTAATACCCCTCCCACATACACCTTCAAATAATAAATAAGAAAGAAAGAAAGAAAGAGCTAAATGTGTGCTTAAAGAAACCCTCCCCCCAATCCCGGTAGTTCTGTTCAATAAGTGGAATCAATTCAGTTTAGTGAACTGCCTAACTTAGACGAAGGGAGTCCCTCCTGCTCAGAACACAGACCGGAGCAGAAGGGATAAAATGGCTGCCATGTGCTCCTTTTAGAATCAAGAAGCAGCAACTCCCTCAGAGCACTTTGAGTCCCCTGACTGGCAAACTTGGGGTTGGATGCAGCAGCTGCCCAAGTCTCTATTCCCTCCACACATCTGAATCTCTCCTTGAAGCAGCATCCTGATTCTTAGCCCTAGGAGGTACATCTCAGTGGACACCCCTGCCATTCTTACACCCCCCCCTTTTTAAATGCACCATTCATCTTTCTACCTATTTAAATTTTAATTCCAAATGCCAGCCCTTACGTGCATCAGGACCATCATGGAAATTCTCCCCACGGGCCTCTTATCAGCACGAGAGGAAACATATGTCAGAGGATGCAGAACAAGCTCAGGTTTCCACAGTGACAAGCGAGTCTCTGCAATCCAAGGGAGCAGGGTGTCTAGGAGAAGCATGGAGGGCTCTCGTCTCCAGGGCTAGGCAGTAAAGGATGAGCCATCAGTTCCACAGCTTTCTTGCACCTGTACTTACGTGGCCTTATCACTAGATCCTGTCTGCCCTGGTCTATCCTGTGGGTCCTTTCAGTGCATTATCATGACAGTGCTTATTATGTGAGTCATGTTTTCCACTCTGAAAGTGCTCAGAGTGACGTAAAATAAATATGGATGCCTTGGAATATGACTTTCTCAAATGATGTTTCCAAGCCCCGTGGAAAGGCATGGAAAGCCTAGCAGATGAAACCAAGCATGTCTCATCATCTTCAAGCCATAGACAGTCTGGAAACTGTGTGACTGGGCAAGTATTGTTTGGTAAACTCAGGTGTGCAGTTTGCCAGAAGGCCATGCCTTCTGTCCCATGGCATCATCATTGGTGCCCCAGCTCTTTCATGGGCCTTTCCATGTTCTAAAAGGGTGATAGGCCTCTCTAAAGGCTTAGTGACTAGCAATAAGAAGCTCAAATAAACTGGTATTTTTTGATCCCACTCTTTCGCCTTTGCTCTGGGATGCCCTAGAGAACTCTGAATTTGACTCTTGGGATGAAAAAAGTTCCCTATCCTTGATGAACAGAAAATTGTGGCTGAGCTGGATGGACCTTTTGGTTTGATCTAGTTGGACTCTTTTGGGTTCCTTTTAGTTGATGAAGGTGGTGAAATGGGTCGCTCCAGGGATTTGGGGTGAAAGGAGGATTGTTCTCACGAAAAATACCTTTCTTTTCCTCTTAAGGACACAGCTGGCCAAGAGCGATACCGGACCATAACGACAGCCTACTACAGGGGAGCAATGGGTTTCCTACTCATGTATGACATTTCCAACCAGGAGTCTTTCAGTGCTGTACAAGACTGGTAAGGAGTGTCACACATATTCACGGGATCGGTTCCATATTATGATTCCTTATTTAGCAGGCAACCTGTGTGCCTCTAAAGCAGACTTTGGTATGTGTTTGTAGGGACTGTTTGAGATGCCACCTCTTAAGACTGCTTGTACAACTTCTGATCTTTTACTGAAGTCATGTGACTTAAATTCTGTGCTGGTGCCTTCCACTCAGTTACATTCAGAAATAGAGCACACTTTATCCTTATGGAGGTATCCAGCGGCAAAGACCCCAAGCTGTCAGAGGGACCACAAGACAAGAGCAAGGCATTTGCATGGCCTTCAGAAGAGCCTGGGCTCTTTTCCACATGAAGAGTCGTGGGTGAAGATAAATGTCCACCCACCCCAACAATATTGTTTCTCACACTTCTGCCTTAGTGCTAAAGCCCCATGATCATTAGATTAGGTCTTGCCCAGGTACAGCCTCGCAGGAGTCACACGTTCGTTCATATCTTAATATTTTAATTGTTGTAAGCCGCCCAGAGACCTTTGGGTAGTGTGGGTGGCATATTAGTTAGTTAGTTAGTTAGTTAAATAAATAAATAAATAATTAGATAAATAGATAAATAGATAAATAAATAAATATTTTATTATATTGAATGCTTTTGCTACAAGTCAGTTACACCTCTAAACCCTTTCTTTCAAATATCCGGAAACAGGTCCTGATAGGGGGCCAAAAGGTTGCAAGTGGGAATGCCCATCTGGGGATGGGCTAGCTTGCGATACCACTTTTGTCCTGTACTTGCTGGGAAAAAGAGTGAACCAGCCCGTGCCCCAGAACAGACCAAAGAGCAGAAGAGACACACACCCCCGCTAGTCGCACCCTGACATGGCTATATAAGCCTTTGACATTGGCGACCAGTGAGATTACTCATTTATAGGATTTCTGTCCTATCTTTCCTCTTAAAAGGGGGGAGACAGTAATGCAACCTTATCTGTTTTTCATCATTCATTCTAAACGAAATAAATAAATAAATGGTGTATCTATATTCTCAACTCTCATTCCCATGTAAGACTTCACATAGTCCTGTTCAGTGGATTCCTTGTTCTAAACGGATAGCAGGATGTGCAACCTGGCAAACAGGAGATTTCCTAGGGTGCTGGTGGAAGAAAATAACTTCATCCGAAATGACCAGATAGGCGGGGTATAAATAGAATAAATAAATAAATCCTGGGAGACGGTGCATGCAGTGTGACTTGACAGGACCAGTGCAGATCAATAGTAGTAGAAATCAAGACACCTTGCCTGAAGAGGTGCCCTAGGTAGACGCCATTCTGGCAGCTCGTCCTGACCCATCCCATACCTTTAGGACCACTGAGGACTGATCTCTTGTGTTCAAAGCAACAACTCCTCATTTTTCAAAAGCTGGAGGTTATGGCCCTGCTAGATGAGTTCCAGAGCCATGCATGCTTCTTCTGTAGGGTGGTGGGTGTAGGTTTTGCAGCTTTCTAGGATGCCCTTGCCCTTTCAGCTAAAGTAGTGCTTCTCTGCAGCTCATTAAGCACCACACGGGTAGTGAGCGAGGCTGATTGTGGTGCTAAGTTGTGATTTTCGTGCTAGGTGTTTGGAAGCCGAAAGATCTAAAACCACACTCTCCCAGTTTCTTTTGCCTGTCCTTTTCCTAGGGCAACTCAGATCAAGACCTACTCCTGGGACAATGCTCAAGTGATTCTGGTTGGGAATAAGTGTGACCTGGAGGATGAACGAGTGGTACCCACCGAGGATGGCAAGAGGTTGGCCGATGAACTAGGTTTGTCCTGTCTCCCTTCTATCTACGTAGCTTCCCACTTAGACCCCTGTCTGAACCATGTACAGCTCCCAAAGAGACAATGTCCCTCTCCCTCTCTCCACTGGACCCCTGCAGTCCTTTCTTAATTATTTTTTTCTCCTTCTAGGTTTTGAATTCTTTGAGGCCAGCGCCAAGGACAACATCAATGTCAAGCAGGTCTTTGAGCGGCTGGTGGACATAATCTGTGAAAAGATGAACGAGAGCCTGGATGGGGGTCCTGGAATGAATAGCAATAACCACAAGAACCCAGCGTTGAACGAGGCCCCAGCTGCTCAGCCCAGCAGTTGTTCTTGCTAGGCAGGACTTTGCCCGCCCCTCGGACCCTGCAGCACCTCATTGTCCTACATAGATAAGAAGGGAAGCTCAGCTGTTGCCCTTCTCTTTGCCTGACTCCTGGTTGGCTCCTCTGCCCTGTTTGGCCTCTTGACTGCATGTGCCAACTGTCTGGTGCCCCTGCCTTTCTCTTCCTCATAGCATGTGTGGGCCTTATTCTAGCATGGTTCTTTCACACACGTGGCACACGCATTCACGCACCAGCATACATAGCCCACGTGATTTGGACCCAGCTCTGGGCCAGTGGGGGGGGGTCGCCTTCCCTTGCCTCCTCTTTTCCGCAGGGCTCCGGTGGAACTGCGTCTCTTTGCCGCACCAACCCTCTGGCTTTATTGCTGGGCAGCTCAGTGACTGCCTGGGAGGCCAGTTCTCTTTATGTCAACTTCAGTCTTCTGTGAGCATCTCTTTTATTTAAGAAATAAATCTAACAGCAGTTTGGATGATGGCCATCCTCACTCCCTAGGTCTTTAAGAACTGGGTGTGAGTGAGAGAAATGCCACCAGAGCGACACCGGTCTGTTGTGAGTGAGAACTATTCTCTTCGAAATTGTTCATGTGAGATGGGTGCTGTGTGGCAGAACATGCTGGTCTCGCCTCCTCCACAGCGTATGTACAAGGAGTGAGGCTGGGGAGCGGATCAACTGGGAATTGTGTTCCTTCCTTCCTGTCTTCTAAACTGACGTGGAAGAGACATCCCAAGCTCTTGCTGAGGACCCAACTTAAAACTAGATTTCTAGGAGACCCTTGCTGATCTTTCACCAAGGAATAATGTATCAAAATGGGTGCATTAGGAATACTTCAGTGAGCAGTGACAGCAGGCTAATATGTGGGTTGCCACTTATGCCGTAAAGTAGTAGTTTGGGCTAAGGGGTCTTTTTAAATCTTTTCCAACTCTGTGATTCTAGTTTCAGACTGTTCTTCAGAATCTACTTACTCTAATCTCAGTTAAGAGCCAGCTTCTCCCCAGACATTCAAAGGTCTTGCTAATTAAGAATTGCTCTAAGAAGGAAAACCTTTAAACTCCCTGCAGCCTTCATCTGTCAGACTTTCCTAATACAAATGTATGTGGTGTCGCCACCAGGTGCGACCCAGGGGAATCAGCATAAGAAGTTGCCCCTTTATTCACCTTGCCCATAAATTCTCCATTCCAGACATTGCCATTGGGTCTTCAGATCCCAACCTATGTTGTTTCCCCCAAAACTGTGAAAATAGCTTGGCTTATTTTTAATTCAGTCTGGATAGAGACTGAAACATGAGACTTTAATCCTTTCCTACAGGTATTCTCATCAGCTTCCTTCAATCCCATCCTACTGAGTGCTATAATGGCAGATTTGGAAGTGCAAGTGTTCACCATGACAATCCCCATACCAGCCAGCATCCTCCCCTCCCACTTCCTGGTAAAAGTAAAAAAATGAAGGCAGCTGGATTGGTCCAGTTCAACAAAATGAGGAGCAGGTCTTTTGTGAAACCAAGTTAAGATCAAAACACCCTTGAATTCTTTGTACCACCCCAGGGACAGCTTGCCTTTATGCCCTCCATCCATCTAGGCAAAGACCTCTGATGGCAAGAGGAAGCCTGGCTCTCTTTTACTGAGGACAGAAAAGAGAGAACAGGACACCCCTTTCCTAAAACAAGACAAATAAAAATCCTGTTTAAAAAAATCATGTACAAATTTTTAATAGTCTGACAATAAAAACGAGGACAACTACATAGAAGAACAAAAATGTTTCAAGGGAAACTCTTTCTCCAAGAATATACACTCACATCATTTTTTTTCGTGTACTAATTTTATGTTTAATTTCAACTCTATTAGGTTTATATGTGAGTGGTTTTGTGGTAACATGATGCTGTCTTTGAATGAACTAATACACAACTGTCCTGTAGATTTATAAAAATAGGCTGCATAATAATTAGGCCATATTCTTACATACACAAGGTATAGGCATGCAGACCCAGTGAGATGGGGCAGAGGGAAAGAATGACAATTACCTTGGTAAAGAGCTTTCAAAGTGACAAATGGCATTGGTCCCCACATCTTGGCTATGTATTTTGTGTATATATGGAGCCAGTGTGGTGTAGTGGACAGAGTGCCAAGCTAGGACTCAGGAGGCCTAGGTGCAAATTTCTGCTTGACCATGGGTACTCATTAGAATTCATTAGCAATGGTAAAGCCATTCCTTAAATATTTCATGCATCTTGAAAACCGTAATTTGAATAAAACTTGACACACACAATGTATGTGTGCCTGTGGTCTAACTATTAAGCTCCATGTGTCTAAGGGAGTGGATTGTAATCCACAAAAGCTCACACTGAAATAAATCAGTCTTCAAAGTGCCACAATACTTTTGGTTTTTTTTTATTTTTGCTATACATGCAGAAACAGACGGACACAGCTACCTCTTTGAAAACTGAAAACACAAAGTGAATAACTGTTGGGTGATGTAAACTGCAATTGGCAGAGCAGGCTGAAATGACCAAAATGGAAAAATACTAGATGAATCTGTAATAAATGTTGTTGAACAGCTGAGGTCTGTGTGGAATGTATTCTAAATTGCCCACCTTCATTTCCAGTGTTGGTCTGAATGAGAACATGAGTAGTAATACTACCTAGCATTCATCAAAATCACTTCTGACAGGTGCGCTGTCCCTGCGAGGTGGGACAAAGGGTCAAGAATCGACCCAGGGCCCTCCTCCTGGGTGGGGCTTTAGGGTGACATAGGGGGTTGGTGAGGCCACCATGGGCCTATAGGAGGGGTTCATAGATACCGGGGTCCCCTGTGACCAGACTGTGGCCTCAGGATTGGCCCACTGAAGTGGCATGTGGCCCTGTAGGCCAAAGGGGAGAGGTTGGAGGGGTTTGGCTAGAAAAGGGGTGGCCGTAGGGCATGCCTTGGCATGCTCTGAAGGCCACCTGGGACTGAAACTCCACAGCAGTGGCTGAAATGCCACAGTGGTGATTTTGGGGGCCTTCTGCATGTGCTTGCTGCTCTTTGCAGAGACCAGTGTGGGTTGGAGAAGATGGAGGACAAGGAACACCAGCCCCCCGAGACAAGCCAAAGGGCCCCAGGGAAAGGCAAAAGATGCTTGCGCCCCAAAAGTTACTATCAGGGGCTTATGGGTTTTTCCAAGCCCCTCTGCCCCTCAGAACCTCCTGCAAGTCTCAGGGGATGCTGCCTGAAGACCCAGAAAATCTAAGAAGAAAATGCAGGTCTGCAGAAGACATATTTGTATTTACCACAAAGTCAAAGCAGAAGCCGAAAAGCACAAGGACAGGACAGAGACTTTAATCCTTTCCTACAGGTATTCTCATCAGCTTCCTTCAATCCCATCCTACTGAGTGCTATAATGGCAGATTTGGAAGTGCAAGTGTTCACCATGACAATCCCCATACCAGCCAGCATCCTCCCCTCCCACTTCCTGGTAAAAGTAAAAAAATGAAGGCAGCTAGATTGGTCCATGTCAACAAAATGAGGAGCAGGTCTTTTGTAAAACCAAATTAAGATCAAAACACCCTTGAATTCTTTGTACCACCCCAGGAATAGCTTGCCTTTATGCCCTCCATCCATCTAGGCAAAGACCTCTGATGGCAAGAGGCAGCCTGGCTCTCTTTTACTGAGGACAGAAAAGAGAGAACAGGACACCCCTTTCCTAAAACAAGACAAATAAAAATCCTGTTTAAAAAAATCATGTACAAATTTTTAATAGTCTGACAATAAAAACGAGGACAACTACATAGAAAAACAAAAATGTTTCAAGGGAAACTCTTTCTCCAAGAATATACACTCACATCATTTTTTTTCGTGTACTAATTTTATGTTTAATTTCAACTCTGTTAGGTTCATATGTGAGTGGTTTTGTGGTAACATGATGCTGTCTTTGAATGAACTAATACACAACTGTCCTGTAGATTTATAAAAATAGGCTGCATAATAATTAGGCCATATTCTTACATACACAAGGTATAGGCATGCAGACCCAGTGAGATGGGGCAGAGGGAAAGAATGACAATTACCTTGGTAAAGAGCTTTCAAAGTGACAAATGGCATTGGTCCCCACATCTTGGCTATGTATTTTGTGTATATATGGAGCCAGTGTGGTGTAGTGGACAGAGTGCCAAGCTAGGACTCAGGAGGCCTAGGTGCAAATTTCTGCTTGACCATGGGTACTCATTAGAATTCATTAGCAATGGTAAAGCCATTCCTTAAATATTTCACGTATCTTGAAAACCGTAATTTGAATTAAACTTGACACACACAATGTATGTGTGCCTGTGGTCTAACTATTAAGCTCCATGTGTCTAAGGGAGTGGATTGTAATCCACAAAAGCTCACACTGAAATAAATCAGTCTTCAAAGTGCCACAATACTTTTGGTTTTTTTTTATTTTTGCTATACATGCAGAAACAGACGGACACAGCTACCTCTTTGAAAACTGAAAACACAAAGTGAATAACTGTTGGGTGATGTAAACTGCAATTGGCAGAGCAGGCTGAAATGACCAAAATGGAAAAATACTAGATGAATCTGTAATAAATGTTGTTGAACAGCTGAGGTCTGTGTGGAATGTATTCTAAATTGCCCACCTTCATTTCCAGTGTTGGTCTGAATGAGAACATGAGTAGTAATACTACCTAGCATTCATCAAAATCACTTTTGACAGGTGCGCTGTCCCTGCGAGGTGGGACAAAGGGTCAAGAATCGACCCAGGGCCCTCCTCCTGGGTGGGGCTTTAGGGTGACATAGGGGGTTGGTGAGGCCACCATGGGCCTATAGGAGGGGTTCATAGATACCGGGGTCCCCTGTGACCAGACTGTGGCCTCAGGATTGGCCCACTGAAGTGGCATGTGGCCCTGTAGGCCAAAGGGGAGAGGTTGGAGGGGGTTGGCTAGTAAAGGGGTGGCCGTAGGGCATGCCTTGGCATGCTCTGAAGGCCGCCTGGGACTGAAACTCCACAGCAGTGGCTGAAACGCCACAGCGGTGATTTTGGGGGCCTTCTGCATATGCTTGCCGCTCTTTGCAGAGACCAGTGTGGGTTGGAGAAGATGGAGGACAAGGAACACCAGCTCCCCGAGACAAGCCAAAGGGCCCCAGGGAAAGGCAAAAGATGCTTGCGCCCCAAAAGTTACTATCAGGGGCTTATGGGTTTTTCCAAGCCCCTCTGCCCCTCAGAACCTTCTGCAAGTCTCAGGGGGATGCTGCCTGAAGCCCCAGAAAATCTTAAGAAGAAAATGCAGGTCTGCAGAAGACATATTTGTATTTACCACAAAGTCAAAGCAGAAGCCGAAAAGCACAAGGACAGGACAGTTTAGGGATCTTTCATTCATAGGGTCAAAATAAGTTAGAGGTGACTTGATAACAACTAAGTGTGGTTTTTTCCAAGCCCCTGTGCCCCTTAAGCCCCCCTGCAAGTCTCAGGGGGATGTTGCCTGAAGACCCAGAAAATCTAAGAAGAAAATGCAGGTCTGCAGAAGACATATTTGTATTTACCACAAAGTCAAAGCAGAAGCCGAAAAGCACAAGGACAGGACAGTTTAGGGATCTTTCATTCATAGGGTCAAAATAAGTTAGAGGTGACTTGATAACAACTAATAACAAGTCCCACTTGGTTCAGTGGGATTTGCGGCTATGCACGTGAGCATGTAGTGCTGGAGGAAACTCTTGAGAGTCCCCTGGACTGCAAGGAGAACAAGCCTATCCATTTTGCCAGTGCTCCACCCTGGCTGCACACTAGAAGGACAGATCCTGAAGCTGAGGCTCCAGTACTTTGGCCATCTCATGAGAAGAGAAGACTCCTTGGAAAAGACCTTGATGTTAGGAAAGTGTGACTACAAGAGAAGGGGACGACAGAGGATGAGATGGCTGGACAGTGTCTGCGAAGCAACCAACATGAAATTGACACAACTACGGGAAGTCTTGAGAGTCCCCTGGACTGCAAGGAGAACAAACCTATCCATTTTGCCAGTGCTCTCTGGGAACTGCAGAGCTCTTGGGATTTGCCTCTTCCACAAGGATGGTGCCCATGGTTTTATTTTTGCTGGTGGCTGCCAAGCCAAAAATGGAGCCTCTGGTGAGTTGAGAAAGGGAAGCCAGGTGTGGATTTATTCTGCTAGGAACCACCTTCACCATTGTTCCAAATAATCTCCCTGGAACAGTTTTACAGAGCTTTATTATGTTCAGAGCAGAGTGAGGCACATCCCTGGATGATGCTACTGTGTAGTTTCTCTTCTGGAGCAGTGAGGGCACTAAAGGGTTTGGAAAGATTTTCCTCTAGCTTTCTTTTTCAGTCTCTCCCATTCCTTCAACTGAAATGTTCATCGCTGGAATTCCCACAAGATTCCAATGTATTTCTTAAAACGGAAACTAAAGGAAGTATCTAGAGGGACTCATCTCCCACATTACCTTGTTTACTCCACATTGAACTTTTGGAGTAGAGATGGGGATGAACCAGTTTGAACCGGTTTGTCCCACTTCCTCCACCTCCTCTGGCTCAAACAGCCACTCACTAGGCCCAGCTTGCTTGTTTTTTCCCACTTCTTCAGCTTGACTTCCAGTTCCGGCACACAGCTCAGGTTTCTCTTGACTGATCTCTCACTGAGACAAAAGGCAGGAGCAGAGCAGTCTGTGTGCTTGTCAGTGACTGGGAGATTAACTGAGAAGGTGGGGATAAGTAGCAAACTGAGCCTGGTGAGTGGCTGTTGGATCCAGAGGAGGCGGGCAGTGGAGCAGCAGTACTTATAACTGGGATGAATCTGGACGAACCAGTTCATGCCCATTTCGCATTTGGAGTGCGCTTTCTGCCATTTTCCCATCCCTGTCTCCTTCCTAGTCAAAGCCGTCAAAGCCAGAGACAAGGAGGTGGAGGCAGGCATGTGATGTCGGTGGCTGTGCAGCTTCAGCCCTGCAGCCTTCCTGTCAAACTGTTCCACTAAGGTTTTCCTTTCAAGGACACCAGCATTTAAGATTCTCAATTTTCTTATTTGTTATAGCCAGAAATGTAAATGTCTTAACAATTGAAATTGTTTATAAATAAGGGGGGTTTCTTAAAGGATCTTGGCTTTGGCTGCCAGATGGGCAGTATGCATAAACAAACAAACAAACGAATGAATGAATGAATGGTCTGCCCTTGAATTTGTGCAGTTTTTCCAAACACTGCTTTGGGTGATTAGTTCCTTCCCCAACCCTTCACCCAGGCTATACCTGCACCTCCCCTGAGAAAACAGAGGAAGGTCCATTTGATCCAAGGCAGTGACAGAAAATCTGAATCTGATTTATAGAGATAAAGAGACCTTCTTAGAAATCTCCAGTCACCTACCTTATCTAAGTTCAAGATTGGAAAAAACAAAGCAGTTTGTTCTTCTGTTTCAGACAATCTAGAAGTATCTCGCCTCCCCACAAAAAGCTGAGTCTAGTTATAAGGTTTAAAAGCAAATGAGGTGGGTGGGGTGGGGGAGGTATTATGAATTGAACAGAGAAATAGGTTTGGGATTTCTAACTGTTTTATTTCAACAAGGCCCTGTTTGTTTGATAAAAAGTCAACGGAACATTTCTCTTTTCATGCAGGCTCACGATTCCATCTTGCCCGTCTGTAGTTTCATTAATTTCTTTGTATTATAGGTTAATTGCGTTCTGCTTCAGAGATTAGAAAGCAGGCTAAAAATAATCTAAGTCAACAAGTAATCTATTAAAATGGGCAGAAGCAGGTGGGAATCTTGCTTTATTTGAACTAACCTAATAATAAATTCTCATGGCATCATCCCTCTCTATTCATAGACAGGAATTTAACTGTTTTCCTTCTGTTGTAGATATGTGGGCACTTTGTTAAAGATATGCCAGAAAACCTCAGAATGCATAAAAGAAAAAATGTTATTAAATTGTCCAGTTGCTCTGGGAGCACATCTGGATCAAGCAAATTATTTTCTCTCTGAACTGAACTGGATGAAAATGGCTTTACTGTCACTCTTGGGGCTGAATTGCACAAAATTATTATTTTGAATTTTAAATAATGGACCTGTTTTTTAAAAAAACACTAATGGAATTAAATGGAATTTTAAAAGTAAGTGACCTGCCCAGAACATGACGTGATGGGAAGATGGTGCCTGAACCTGTAAGAGAAGCACTGTATGTGTACATCATAGAGCATCTTGGACCTTTTGGACAGGGGAAGAAATCTGTGGCATCTGTTGTCTTCACTATTAAATTAGTATTTATCCTTAAGCACTCTAACACTTGAGAGTGAGTCTGCAGGCAAAATGGCAGGCTACGCACCTGGCTGCCATCCTGTGCTCACTTGGACAGCCGCAAATCCCACTGAACAAAGTGGGACTTGTTATTAAGTGTTGTCAAGTCACCTCTAACTTATTTTGACCCTATGAATGAAATATCTCTAAACTGTCCTGTCCGCAACAGCCCTGCTCAGCTCTTGTACACTCAAGACTGTGGGTTCCTTTAAGAAGTAATATTTGATCTTCCTCTTAATCCTGCTGCCTTCAACCTTTCCCAGCATTATAGTCTTTTCCCAAGAATCTTGCCTTCTCGTGATGTGCCCAAAGTAGGATAGCCTCAGTTTCAACAGTTTTGCCTTCACAGATGGTTGATTGGATCTAGGACCCACTTGTTTGTCTTTCTGGGAAGTCCTGGGTAGCTGCAAAGCTCTCATCCAGAGCCACATTTCAAACAAATAAATTTTTCCCCCTGTCAACATTTTTAAATGGTTCAGCCTTCACAAGGCTAGGACCCACTTGTTTGTCTTTCTGGCAAGTCCAGAGTAGCTGCAAAGCTCTCCTCCAGAGCCAAATTTCAAACAAATCAATTTTTCCCCGTCAATGTTTTTAAACGGTCCAGCCTTCACAAGGCGATTTGGAATAAAAGAGTGTGGATGATCTTAGTCTTGGCCTCCAGTGACACATCCTTGCAATTGATTATCTTTTCTAGTTCCTTCATTGCTGCCCTTCCGAGTCTCAGCCTCTTTATTTTTTTGCTGCAGTCTCCATTAGGACTGGTGATTGAACCAAGGAATACAAAATCTTTAACCATTTCAATTTCTTCATTTTCAGTGCTCAAGTTGTATAATTTTTCTGTAGTCATAATTTCTGACTTCTGCAGTCCTGCTTTGGCAAGTTGTATAGTTTTTCTGTAGTCATAATTTCTGACTTCTTAATGTTCAACTGCAGTCTTGTTTTGGCACTTTCTTCTTTTATTTTCACAAAAATCCATTTCAAGTCATTGCTGCTTTCTGCCAGAAAGATGGTATCCTCTGAATATCTTAAATGATTGATGTTTCTTCCACCAGTTTTCACTCCTCGTTCATCTGAATCTAGTCTGGCTTTCCATATGATACATCGACTGAACAGGTAAGGAGATCAGATGCCTCCTTGCCTAACACCTTTGCTTAAGGAAACCGTTCTATCTCTCCATATTCCATTCTAACAGTAGCTTCTTGTCCACAACTGAGGTTGAACAATAGGATAATCAAGTGCCGAGACACATCCATTCCTTTCAGAACAACCCATCATTTTTCATGATCTGCACAGCCAAAGCCTTTGCTGAACTTTTTGACAGTGAATGCATTCACATCAGTTTAGCCTGTGCGATCACATGTGTTGATGCAGAAAGCATCTGCCATTGCCAAGTACTGGACAGAATTGTTCCTGTTCTGCTTTTAAAGCCAGATAAAACACCACTTCTCCTTGTTTTCCTCTTTTCTTTCAGTGCGGCTTCCTTTAAAAAAAGGGGGGGCGAGACTCTGTGCCATTGTGCTAAAGCACCTAAGAGACCAAAGGGAAAATAAGAGCAAGGAGTCAGCAGAAATCAAGGAGGAAATTGCCAATGAGCACTTATTTGCAGCTTCTTAAGATAGTGCTACTGTAGCCGCACCTCCTGCAGATCTGGACAGCTACAGCAGAATAAGCTGCAAACAAGACTGTTTGCTCATTTCTCCTTCACTTCTCTGCTGACTCCTGGGTTGTCAGCTAAAGCAGATTCACCCATGGAAATCCGACTTCCAGGAGCTGAATTCACATAAACATGCACATTTTTCCTGCTGTTCAGTCTCACCCCAATTCAGTTATTTAAGGATCAATAATAATCAGTAGTTTCTACTCAACATGTCAGCATTCATTTCAATGATTTGTCATGACAAGCAAGTACACATTTGGAAATACGATGAATAAGATTTGTTCATTCATAGCCTCCCATGCCTCTCTCCCTCAGAATAATCCATCTATGCATTCCTGTAAGCTGTTGTACCAAGGCAATGCCCCAATCAATAAAACTGCATCTGGTCCCACCTATTTTGTAGTGGCCCTGCCTTGTGCCTAGGCTTCATCCCCTAAAGTGCTTCCCAAATTGGATTTCGCCTCCATGCTTGATTTAACAAGAGGCAGACCTGCTTAATTTCAACAGGATACCTGGGACATGTTTTGCCCATGTCATGAAATAACACACACTGCAATTTTTGTCACAGAATGGTTGTTGACAGGGGACCCCAGCAGGAAATTCACTCTGTCCAACAACCAGTTATATAAAATTCCAACAGAGGCCTGTGGGTTTGTGCGTTCTGCACTACAGCTCGAAGAAGGGGAATTCTGGGAGCTGTGGTCTAAAAAAAATTCCAACAGAGGCCTGTGGGTTTGTGTGTTCTGCACTACAGCTCGAAGAACTGGAGGGGAATTCTGGGAGTTGTGGGCCAAGACACAGATAAGAGCATCTCTCATTCATTGTACCTGGGATGCTCCATGAGAAAGTCACATCCAGCAACAAAGGCCATCAAAGGCTGTATCCACCAAACTGTTTCAAGGGGAGTGAAAGTGCTTTTTGATTCAATTGTGCCCAACTGTTAGAATTGCCTCCCTGCACAGGTGTCTGCAGGAGGGAACAAATAAGGTTGCTTCCCTCCCCCCCCCGGGATGCTGAACTTAGTATTTCTTTAAATGTACACAGGTTAAAATTACCATCAAGTCAAAAATCTATAGGAATCATAGGTAGGTTTTCCTCTCTTTCCTGAAGTATTTCTAGGGATGCCCTCACCTCCCAGTGCACTTGCTTCTGCAGTTCCATCGTACCTGCTAGCAAGCAGACACGGTAGGCTTCATTGCTCTTTTCTCTAAGGGAAGAGAACCTCTAAAAGCTCCCCTGGGCTTTCCGTCACCCAGGACAAGGGGCAGAGGGGAATTCCAAAGCAACAGACCTATGCATTTGCAAGATACCTTTTGAAGCAAAAACACATGCCATGGTATATATATATTGTTTAATTACAGGGAATTAAACCAACTGTGAATACAAGGCAAACGTCTCATAATGGCGAATGAGGGTCAAGATCTGGAGGCTGTATTGAGCCAACAATGGGCATTGCCCAATTTGCTTTGTGAATGATGCCTCTTGTCTGGCAGGTTGAGAGGCTGAGGCCGCTGGAGCTGCAGCTTTGCTGCTTCCTCTGGGCATCTGCTTCATCCACGTGTCCCAATCTGAGAATACAGGATCAAGGAGACAGCCATCGCAGCCAGCTATGGAACAAACAAAACAAACAAAAAAAGAACATGGGAACAACCTTTTAGGCACGACGTGCTGGACTTCATTGAAAAGTGCATGCGGTGTTTTACTGCCTTCTTAAAAATCACGTCGCTTTCTGCACACCCACTTATAAAATCTGGCAAATGGTTTGCCTTGCCATGGAGGAATTGGAGAGCCTGATCAAAGTCCACTTTGGCGGTTGTTGCTACTCCTGCATAAATTTGCCAGTGTGGAGCTCCCGTAGAAATCTTAGCTCTCGTTCTAAACCAGGAAGGGGAACCAGGGAGCCCACCAGGTGCTGCTGGACTACAATTCCCAGCAGTCCCAGCGAGTGCAGTCAGTGGGATGGAAGGGAGGAAGAACACCACTGAGAGAGCCACACATTTCTCATCTGTGTACTTGAGGAAAAACTGTAGTTACAAGATAATCTAATAACAGGCACAACCCCCCCCCTTTTGTTTGAAGATACAGGCACCGGTGACCAAACTTAAGGGCTCTATCTCTACATTTCTTGGGCAGCCGACTCTGCCTTATAGCTTCTCAACATGTCACTAGACCAGATAAATGTCACTTTTGGGCTATAGCTCCCACAATTGCCTTCCACTCCAGCAATTATGTCAAGTGATCACTGGAAAAAGGAATGAACCAGCCCATCCCTGCTGGCGACCAAACAGCAGGACAAATCCCGGTCTGGTCACAACCTTGAAGGACATTTTCAGAGGGATGCTTACAGGATAGCTTCAGGTTTTATGTCATTCGGTTGTCAGCCCTAAATGACAAGGGAAGTATTGTTTGGTTTCAACTCTAGCCTTTTTGCATATATTTGCAAGGTGCAATATCAAAAGCGCTGACTCCAGACTATTTCCCATTGTTTTTCTGGCCTACAAGCACCAACAACTAATTACTTGCAGGGCTGAAGCAATGATAGTGATAACAACAACCTGGTTGCCCAGAAGGATTGCAACAAGTTTCTCGTGAAAAGTAACTGACTCAGTCTAAGGCACCTTCTTGTGTCCTTAAGATCAGGGCCAGCAATGGCATTTCCAGAGTCATTTATGATGCATGGATTGCACGTCCGCCCACGCCTCAAGAGAGAACCTTTTTCATGAGTTTAGAAGAAGAGACCTTTATGCTGTTAGAGGGAGTTCTTAATGTCCGTATCCTGTTAGATCACATCTGCAGAAACTCTACCTAGTGAGCTGCATTGGGCCCCAACATCCCTCTATGCCATCCAGGCTTTTTAAAAAATGTAATCACTTGTTTTAGGCCCAGGAAGTCCGCTTGTGCCTCTTAGGAAGCAATGTTGTAGGCTTTGGGACCCTCCAACAGCCTCCCTTAAAATTTGTAGTTTTTTGTGTGTAAATGGCCACTAGAGGACATGAGAACATTGGCTTTAAAAAGTGCCTTTATTAAATAATTTTTTAAAAGTTGTGTGTGGTGGAGACAAATGGAATGTAGGGATGGCCTCTGAAAGCACAAACAGTGGCTATTGGTCTCCAGAGTTTCCCACCCATTTGTTAGACTGAATTCTCTTTGACACTGTATTCAGACCGGGTATCTCTTAAACAAGTGGTCCCCAACCTTGGGCCTCCAGATGTTCTTGGACTACAACTCTCAGAAGCTTTCACCACCACCTCTGCTGGCCAGGATTTGTGGAAGTCCAAGAACATCTGGAGGCCCAAGGTTGGGGACCACTGTCTTAAACGATCCAGATCAGACGATATTTCTGAAGATCTGGGTAGACATGGAGCTATTCTGGTGTTGAAAATTCATGTGGATTGTAATCTACTTTTCTGTAACTTTGCACTTACTCGTGGCACTGAGGACATACTGTACAAACACAATTTATGGTATTCAAAGAGACCCATAGCAGATCACATCAAAACAGGCAGTGGGATGAGGACAACTTTCCTAGAGCAGTTTTCTCCAGTCTGGAACCCTCAGATGGACTCGAACATAGGTTCCATCATCCACAATGAGCGTGGCCACTGGCTATGCCAGTTGGGATCAGTGTACTTTATCTGGAGGGCAAGATGCAAGGTCTTGAGAGCTCTAGAGCAGTGGCCATGGGGCTGGGGCAAAGATACATATCGGTTCACATCTATATGGGCTCACATGCAGGGGACAAAAACGCATTAATGGCAAGACCAGTTGTGTGGGTGGGTGGGGAGGTTTTGTGTGAATTAGAAACACGTGTCTGCTTACCTCAAGGCCACCAACTCCAAGAGCAACCCCTCCAACTATCTTCCCATTTTTACTAAGGAAAACGTTGAATTCTTGGAAACAACCCTAGAAGTAAAAGGTAAAAAGAGGGTGTCTCAGAAGATGTCTTCTTCCTCCCGCCATATCTTGACACCTGGTGAAACTTGATCTTGGGTTCTGACACCAAGGAAAGAAATTCCACGGACTTTCCCCTTAACAGAACACAATAAAGACTAAGAGGGAAATGCGAGCTATTCTACATGATTTAGGGTGTGACTGGACTGCGCTTTCCCCCACTTTTTGGATGGCTTCTGGTACGGTCAGGTTTGAACCATTTCCCAGTGATGACATGACGTTCTGGCAATTGCAAACCAGCCCGACCCTTTGCCAGGCCTTCCCACACCTTTCTGGATCCCTGGCAGATTCTACTGGACTTTTTTTTAGCTCAGATAGGAGCCATCTGTTTCCAACATGTGCAATCAGCATGTGAACCAAAGTGGATACCCATGTTGGCAGTATGCCACCCACCAAGAAAGCAAAACATATAAACAAACAAAAACCAACTCACTTTCTCTTACTCCCCTGCAGAGGGGGAAAACAGAAGGGGGGGATCCTTTTTTTGGGTTGGTGAGTTTGTTGTTCCCTTAAAAGCCCAGCGCTATGTCACTTGATGGCAAGCCAATTCACCAGCATCCCACTTAGCAATATTTTTTATTCCAAATTTCCCATGAATCTCCCACTGGTTGCTGTGGGATATATTTTTTTCCTCTTAGGAAAAAAATCTTACTTTTTATCAGGAGCTTACTGGTGTTCACATTAGACTTGCAGGATTTGCTGAAGTTAATTGTAGCAAATTGAAAGGTGTCAGGGCACATTTTGGCTGCACAAGTGAATGTGTGTTCAGACATATAATGGAGAAGCATGCCAGACCCTCAAAAATTAACTGCAATTAGTTGCAGCAATTTATGGAATTCTTATGGGAACACAAAAGTGAATTTTGGCTGCTATAGTAGGACTACAATATCTGCCAGAGTTCCAAGTCACCCCCACCCCCTGTGGATGCTGGAAATCATGGATAAGTGAACACTTTATATAACATAGTCTCTGATTCCTTCTAGTGGCCACCTCTGGCACTACATCTTTCTAGTTTCTACATATTTCTAGTTTCTCTTTTATTTAATATTTTCAGGAAGTGGAGAAGTGATCCCGCAGATATGTATTTTGTTAGTACAAGCTGACTACAGCATCCTAGTAATCTTCTCTTTTTCATTTCTGAGTCCCATTGAGGGATAGAGCTTGTTGAGTATGGGTGGTACCACAGGGCCTCGTATTAAATTTCTCTTTACCAAATCTCCCCCCATTCCTGCAAAAGCAACCCAGCGGCCATGCTAGAATAAAGCGGGACACCTCTGCCTCGCTCAGCATGCCATAATATTTCAAAGAGTATTATTGACACAGGCAGGTATAGAGATGGTAGCATGGTATTTTCTGTTGTAATGTGCAATCAGTAACATGTCCTTTCTCTTTAATGAACAAGCATGGAAGGAACCTCATGTGTTCCCTATAGACAATCAGCCTTATAAATGTTGCTAGAATAAAGCGGGACACCTCTGCCTCTCTTAGCATGCCATAATACTTCAAAGAGTATTATTGACACAGGCAGGTCTAGAGATGGTAGCGTGGCATTTTCATGTTTGCCAAATGAGAGCATCTTTAATGAACAAGCATGGAAGGAACCTCATGTGTTCCCTATAGACAATCAGCCTTATAAATGTACGTACTGTAGTTTTGTTTCACCCTTAGACACACCCTCCCTCCCTCGGATGGTGCGATACTACATGCAAGGCATAACCTTGAGTTTGCCTATCTACTGGCGTTACCTGAAATGCTGATGCATATATTGCTCAATTTGTATATGGTATGTTATATATATATTTTAGCTGTTATGTTTATTTACTAGGGATCCCCGTGTACCTTTACCTAAGAGTTTAGTAAAGTATATATTTAAACAACGTATCTCGGTGTCCGGCAACCTCCTTCATAAATTTCTCAACATTTTCATGTTCGCCAAATGAGAGCAGAGTTTTAAAAGGTTAAGAAATGATCACAAGCCTTTTGATCTTTTCACTATAACAGATGACTGAGAGAGGGTTTTTTTAAAAAAATCTTCGAACCCAGGGCTTTTCCTTCATCATCTCTGCTTCTGCCTCCACCTATAGACAGAGTCAAATATGGGCCACATTTCAGGTTAGATGTATTTGACCAATAAGGCCCCATCCAACCTGCCGTTCTTTTCCTTCCCACAAAGGTTTATGAGCCTGAACTTGCTTTCCTAGGGATCCCCGTGTACCTTTACCTAAGAGTTTAGTAAAGTATATATTTAAACAACGTATCTCGGTGTCCGGCAACCTCCTTCATAAATTTCTCAACATTTTCATGTTCGCCAAATGAGAGCAGAGTTTTAAAAGGTTAAGAAATGATCACAAGCCTTTTGATCTTTTCACTATAACAGATGACTGAGAGAGGGTTTTTTTAAAAAAATCTTCGAACCCAGGGCTTTTCCTTCATCATCTCTGCCTCTGCCTCCACCTATAGACAGAGTCAAACATGGGCCACATTTCAGGTTAGATGTATTTGACCAATAAGGCCCCATCCAACCTGCCGTTCTTTTCCTTCCCACAAAGGTTTATGAGCCTGAACTTGCTTTCCTCTGGTAACCCACACCACACATTTGCACAGATACTACTGTACTAGGGTTCTGTGTCCTCTTTGAAGCCGAGTTACCTTCTTGTCATGGTCTATTTCAGATTCCTGGCATTCTTGGTTCTGTTTACAGCAAACAGATGGATATTTTGTGTAAGTCTGATAGAAATAGGAGTTATTGAAATCAGTGTAATTGTGGAATCCACAGCACTTCAGCTAGGAGAGAGAGAGAAATAGAGAGAGAGAGAGAGATCTTGAATCACATTTCTAAGTGAAGCTTGGGAGGCAGCCAGAGATACTGAATATTAGGTATATGCTAGGAATTTCTGCCTTCCCATACCAGCGCTTCAACATTTTTGTTCTGAAAATATTTCCTGCTTGTTATTAGTTCATATATTTGCAAGATAACCTGTTGACAATTTCTGTTTACTGTGTTATAAAGATAACTTTTAAAAAATAAATAAATAAATTAGAATTGATAGGAGAATGTCTTAAAGCCTAAAAGGTTATTATCAAAATGCTTTAAAAATGCTGTTGGTAAAGACATTTGGAAAAAAATCGTTGTAAAATAATTAGGTTGCCACTTGTAACCTTACTTTGGAAGTGTAACCTCATTGTTCACTTGTTGCTGGGAAAAGTAACTGATTACATATTCCTACATTACTTACCATTTCTTGAAATAGGGAGTCCCGAGTTACTTAAAACTAAGTTAGCTGAATGTTTGTCACTTCCAGAGTTTGTTCATACTATGGCACATGTTTTTCACATTCTCTCCACAATATTTTGCCAACATTAACTAATATGTATGATTAAAAGTTGTTTAAACATTGAACCACAATACTAAAAGAATGCTTGATGCAAACGCATGAATCAAATTGAAGGATGTGCATTGGTGCCCTGACCTGGCCCATGCCAAATAAGAGCCCAGCTCATACTGTGCCTTTTGGGAGACACTCTCTTTTCTTTCATTCCAGGTTGCTGTTGGTATGCTTCCGGATCTCCTGAAAAAGCCTCATTCGCACCAGTGGGGAAAAGCAAACAGCAGAGCCAGATCTGGTGGGAGAGGCTGCTGAGATGAGGGCAGGACAGAAACCCTTCTTGCCATGGCAGTCTGCAAAGCCCAGTGCTCCCTTTAACTTTTAAATCTCCCTGCCTCCAAACCATGCAGAGAAAGCCCAATCCCATAAATGAGCAGAGTAGCTTCCTAAAGCAGCAACAGGGAGAGGAAGGAGTGAGCACTTTCAAGAGGCACTGGTCAGAGCCCTCTTTGATGTCTTCATTAGAAAAACAATCTAGGGAGTCTCTTCTTCCTTTATAGAGTCTAGAATTTCACACCATTCTCTCTTTTTTTTTCAGCCCATCCCATCATCACAGCAAGTAGATGTATTCAATTGGGGGGGAAAACCAATTATTTTTTCTTTTGAAAAAAGGAAGAGTGAAAGAAAATTAACCCTGCACTTTCTATTCTTTCTCTTTCCGCTCTCTTTCTTCCTCTTAATCCCTGGATCTGAAATAATTGGGGTTGCATCCCTTTCCTCCTGCTCTTCTGCAGCTACATAGTCATAATAAGTTGGGTGATGGCAGAAACAAGTCCCAAAACAGTGCAGAGTCTGCTGGTTTACCCAATGACTTTGTAGGAGAAAAGGCCAAGGAAAGTTCATTTCTAATGTAAAGAGCATAATGTCTTTCTCTGCTGGCACCAGCTCAGCATCTGCCTTAGTTTCGCTTTCCTTGCTTGTAATCCTATCCTGTCTTTTTCTTTTAAAATGTTGAACTTCACGAGTATATTTAATAGGTGGGACCTGTGTGTGGTGGTGGTGGGCGCTGCTCCAAGCCCATGAGTCCCCCTGGGATCTGTGCATTGCCCCTACCCTTTTTGCAATCTGATTTAAATCCATATGCATAGGGATTGATGCATTTCAATGAATCAGTAAAGAAATTAAGGTCCTGAGTGAAAACTACAATCCCACCAATCCTACTATTGGTTCTAGAAGTTTGACTCCAGAATGCAAGTAGACTGGAATAGGAGCATGTTGGAATCCAGAATGTAGCACTGGCAATCTACTCCCCGTAGATACATGAGCTTTACTTCTGATGACTTGAAAGCAGTCTAAAAATTCGTTCTAGCCCCTGCATGATATTCCTGCAGGTACATTTTCAGTGGTAATTGAACCATATCATATTTTCATATAAGACATAAGAAAAAATGTGGACTGGTAGGTTGATTTGTGGCTGATTGGAATGATGCATGTCCCAAGAACGTGCGTGCCCAGAGCCAGAAGCCTGCCAGTTCAGAACATGAGGGCTGCTGCGGGTGATGAGATGAAGCTCAGTTTACACTCAAAGAGATCCCATGTCTTTGCATGGGGGAGAATAGAGAGAGGAACTTCTCCAATTTCCTAGACTGTCCTTTACCTGCTCCGACCTGTGCCATACCTTCCTTTGGCCTGAGTTCACTACTCTTAAGCTTGCTAATGTCACTTCCTGTCCTCCCACATTTTTCCTGCCATTGTTCTCTAGATATGAGTGGGGCAGCCATAACTTCTGACATCTCCAACTTAGTTGTAATGAATTAGGACTTCTATCACATTTCCTATCTCAAGGATATTTCTCTCATAGACACAAGTGTTCTTATTTTCTTAGAAATATGACATTGTGTATACTGCAGACTGTTAGACGTCAGTCATCACAAAGAAATCACAGGCACTCCTCTTCCCAAATGAAGTAGAGCAAAGAACTCATGAAAAAACACAGTCCAGAAGGAATGTATAAATCCAGGCAAGGAACTAATTTGTTGCCCAGCAAAACAGCTGGAAGACAAAAGGGTTGGCACAAGGCTAGCCGTGGCAGGAAACTCTTTGCTCAGTAAATTAGTGCTGTGAAATGATGAGGACTTAGAAATCTTGGCTGATGGGTTGCATATCACCCAGAGATCAGCCAGTATAACCCAATCTATATCACCTGCCCATCTGGCAATAAACAACGCACCATCTTTCTACTAAAATCAGAAAGCTGTCTGGAGAACAGTCTAAATAACGCACCATCTTTCTACTAAAATCAGAAAACTGACTGTCTGGAGAACAGTCTAAACTGACCATGAGTGTCAGTAGGAGACCAAGGAAGGACCAGCCCCTCCAGATGTTATTCTCCACTCAGGACTGAGCTACAAGTGTGGTGTGACTCTTCCAAAACCACTGATGTGGACGCATGACTTCCAACAGAGGAAGAAATGGGGTTTTGCCACTTCAAATACCTCTTTCATTGTGGTGTCCCAAATGGCTGTGATGTCCTCTTGTTTCCCGTAGTCTTCTTCTAAAGTTTTCTTGGCCCAGTTTTTCATGTGCTCCACAAATATATCTGCCTGGATTCAAGAGACAAGCTAGTCAGTAGCTCATATGTTTACCAGATGTTTCACCACCCACCTTTTGAACTGCTGCCTCACAACCACCCCTTCTCTTTCATTGTGGTGTCCCAAATGGCTGTGATGTCCTCTTGTTTCCCGTAGTCTTCTTCTAAAGTTTTCTTGGCCCAGTTTTTCATGTGCTCCACAAATATATCTGCCTGGATTCAAGAGACAAGCTAGTCAGTAGCTCATATGTTTACCAGATGTTTCACCACCCACCTTTTGAAGCGCTGCCTCACAACCACCCCTTTGCTGCTTTATGAGTTATTGGGATGCCATGGAATGTTCAAAATCATGGCAAATCCAGGGGGTCATATACGTAGCAGGAACAGAATGTGAGAGAAACACAGCTTCCAGAGAGAAGGTCAGTAGGTTTGCAGGAAAAAACACAGATCTTATGTCAGAAAGAGTGATGCTACTACAGGTGGATGGCCCATAGACAATCTACTTGGCAAACTGGGATATTGGTGGCTATGGGATTAAATGCAGTGAGAGGATGCAAAGATGATTGCTGGAAGACTCAGGAGAGAGCAGGAACTACAGATAAAGCTATAATACCTAGACTTGACTATGGAATATTCTTGCCTATGTAACAAAATGCACATAGGATAAAATATGGCAAGCCCTATGTAAGAAAGAGACCATGTTCCACACCCCAGCATTTACAGTAGCATCCCCTGAGTGCAGATCAAAGGTCTGTTTTTCACCCTATGTAACTCCATTCCCCAGGAGATTAGACTACCTCCTCATTTTATAGCTTCTTGTGCTGGCAGGTGGTACCAAAGATTCTTTGTTATCTTGGCTAAGAGATTATCCATCTGAAATTCTATCCAGTGGAAATACCTGAATCTGAAACTGTGAAAAGCATTGTGTGTTTCTTCTTGGTGAGTATATCAATTTGTGTTCTAGGTTCCTTTTGTTACAAAAAATTGTATTGCAGAGGCCACCGTCTTCAGATGCTAGTGCCAACTTACCACGGAGGAGAAAGCCAGGACCACAACAGCCCCTGCCACTTCAGCTACGAAGAGAATCATCGTGACCACAAAAAACTGGAAACAGAGAATGAGAAGGACAGAGGGCATACTGTGAAATTTGGGGTGATCTGCCTGGTGCTTAAAAGGTCATTATTTTCAGTGCAATCTATTTTAACTCTGGGTACCTGTCTACAAAAGCAGAACAAAGAGCTATTTTGCATCTCAATGAATTGTCCCAAAAAGATTGCACGCCCTAGCCCTGTGCCAGTTTGGTGTGGGACTGCTCTTAAAGGGGAAGAATGGATTGTTTTAAATGGAAACACAAGCAGGTGAGGTCTTTTCTCTCTCTGCCAAACAGGGCTATCAGGGAACTTTGTAACTTAACTATATGCCAATAGGCTCATGGAGTGTGTGTTCACGCTCAGCAATAGTCAGAGTCCAGTGGCCATGTTGTAGCTGGAAAACAACATTCATGTGCTCTGATGTTTGCCAGCAAGGCCCTCCTCAAACACTGTGTTGTGACAATAATCATCATCACTATACTCCACAACACAGGAGTCGAGATGGACACAAGGTGCTTTGTTGCACATTGTCCAAAGCTGTCAGCATGGCACCTGTCCTAACAGCTTCATACAAAGCTCGACAAAGCACTTCCGGCCCATTTCTACACAGATGTCTTCACTGCCAGGAGGTACCAGTATTATGACAGAAAACCTTTCCGAAGCAGATGCTCAATGCCATCATAGCTTATTATCGGCTTTGCTCACAAAGCCTTTGGGGAAATGAAACCATATGTGGAAGGCCCCATATTGAAGGCTGCTGCCTGCCTGGCCACCCACAAGAACAGCAGATTATTCTCCAATTAGTAAATGGCCAAGTTAGGCAAAGTGGACGTCAGCAATATAGATTATTCAGTTCTTGTAATTACATGAAGCAAGTTGCTGAGGAAGGAGCTGGACCAGTCATGTGATGATATAAAAACCCTTTGAGGACCTATTTTGTACACAATAAGCAGGGAATTCTGTTTAGGTCTATGCAGAAGTTAATGTCACTGAGTTTCAGTGAGACTTCCTTCCAGGTTAAGTATGTCTTGGACTACAGCCTAAATGATACAGTTTGTGCCTTTGGAAATGCTAAACTCTGATAATGAGGCTGCATAACCTTGCGTATTGTATGCAATGGTTGAGGGGTTGGTCTGGGACTTGGGAAATCAAGCCTCTAGTTTTCCACTTGAAGCTCACTTGGTGGTGCCTCATCCTCAGATGATGTTGGATTTCAACGTTCCTAGGCCTTTCCCAGCATGTCCAGTTGTGAGAAATGATGGGAACCGTAGGCCGTAAAGGTCTGGAAGGTCACACATTCCATGTTTCTGGACTGGGGCATCCAGGGACTTTGACCAAGAAGAAAGCTCATCAAGACCCCCTGTGTAAGTGATCCTAGCTAGGAATTGGATGAAATAGAGAAGCTGGGAGGAGCAGTTGAACAGAGTCAGGAGTAGAGATGGGCACGAAACAAACCTTGAAGCAAAAAACCCCACGAATCAGTTATAACATCCCAAATCCAATCTTTGACAGACTTGGACGATGTGTGGTGGAGAGTCACTTGAAGACTCGCTGTCGGTTTGGCGTTTCTGACTCATGCAGGGGCAGCTCTGTTGCTCCCAGAAGTCCCAAATTGCACAAACCAATTGGAGTTTGTGAAAGTTCATGGTTCGTGGTTCACAAATACCAGGGAACCATGAGCCATCCTGAACTGCCATTTCCCCAGTTTTCATGCATAACCCTTATGTAACCCTTGCAGCCTAGCCATTCCACGGTACCTGCCTAAGCCCAGCGCGAGAGCCTCCCCTTTCTTTCTTTCTTTCTTTCTTTCTTTCTTTCTTTCTTTCTTTCTTTCTTTCTTTCTTTCTTTCTTTCTTTCTTTCTTTCTTTCTTTCTTTCTTTCTTTCTTTCTTTCTGACACCTACCATCAGCAGCAGGCATTTGCTTTCCTTCATAGCCCCCCAGCATCCCATAAAGCCCATCAGGAGAAGGAAGGTTCCAAGGGCAATGCAAAGGTAACCCACGTTGATCAGTTGCACCAAATGTGGAGCTGCAGCCCCCAGGATCTTCACAAAGGATGTGCTGTCCACCTTCACCCAGATGCCAATGCCCAGCAAAGCCAGACCACTCAGCTGGGGGGAGAAGAAAGAAGGGGAATGGAAATCAGAAGGTACCATTTTGCATTAAGGAGCTTGAAACTGCATTAGTGAGACCTCTGGGACTCTGCGGGCTTTTCTGCCAATCCAGAGATTTCCCACTTCTCCCGCCCACAGCAGGATGGCAGGTTAGCTAGGATCCACATCGCATTTCTGAGAATGGAACCTCTGTCTGTTTATCTGAAATATTTACAAATCATCTCTTTCCCCAATGAGCATATGGGATTATGTATCATGTTAATTAAACCAGGGGTTTAAAAAGTCATCTCAAAAGGAACACATCAGATATTGTTTAAGATAAGAGACGCTACAAACCTCACTACTGACAGAAGAAATGGCAGTTATATATAAAGCTCTGTGTCTTCCTGAGAATGGAACAACATGTCTGTAAAAAAAGAGAGCAAGAGGGCCCTCTGATCAAGTGCTGTCCCGCCTGCCTTGGAAGGTGGAAGGAGCCCCAAGACAAGCAAGAGGAAAAGCAAACGCCATCGGGAAAAGAGAAGCCTCCTGCTGGATTAGAAAAAAGGATAGAGGAGAAAAAGGTAGGAGAAAGGAGACAAAAGAAGGAGGGGGAAGGGAAGAAAGAGGAAGATATAAAAAGGAAGGAAGAAGGAAGCGAGAGGCAGATGGAGTGAAAGTAGAGGAGGGGCGGAAGTGAAAAAAGGAGAGGGGGGGTTGTGATTGGAGAATCCCTGGACTCATAAAGGCAAAAGGTTGATTGTTCCCAAGGAAGAGGCTGAGAGACACCAACATAGCCAACCACCCTAGAAACCCTCTTATTGGGAATTAAGGGAGAGAGGGGAGAGGGGGATGGAGCAGAAAAGACACAGGAGGGATGGGCAGACGTAGCGAGAGAACGAAGGGAGAAGGCAGAGCGGGCCTCCCACCAAGACTGATCACCTACGAGGTGGTGGGGAGTTGTTGCACCCGAAAGGACCACAGGAGCCCGGGGGGGGGGCTGGTGGGTAGACGAGTCACTGCCCCTGTTGTACCTGCAAGGAGCCAGGGGACCCGTGGGAGGGGGCTGATGTGAAAGATGCCGTCACCCAACGGACAGGACAATCCGGTGAACCGTTCCCAGCATCCCTTTATCCCTCCGTTGAGGGAGGAAGGGAAGGTTGAAGATTTGATGCCTTTAAATATGTTACCCACTGAGTAGAAGGTAAACGTTACTGGTTTAAAACAAGAACATGAGTATAGCCTGTCTGTCAAGGGATTACAAAAGGGAGGAAGTGACGTTTTGAAGTAAATAAGCGATGCCAACTGGCGCAATGCAGGGACAGAAAGACAAGCACCTAGGAGAAAGGGGGGTGAATCTCCCAGTTCTTCCATGTATCGCACCTAACGTTACTGGTTTAAAACAAGAACCTGAGTATAGCCTGTCTGTCGAGGGATTACAAAAGGGAGGAAGTGACATATCAAAGTAAATAAGCGATGCCAACTGACACAATGCAGAGACAGAGAGACAAGCACCTAGGAGAAAGGGGGTGAATCTTCCAGTTCTTCCATGTGTCGCTCCCAGGTTTTCTCCACTCCTGGGTTTTCCCTCTCATCTAGAGACTTGCTTTGGGCACATGGTGCTCTAAAGGGAAAAACCATCAAGGTGGAGTGGGAAGTAATGCCGTCCCTCCCCATCCTCAGCTCTCCCTGTGAATTGCCTCCCATTCTTTTCCACACAGTAAAGGAAATCAAAGCTTTTCCCTTCCCAGTATTTACTCCTTCCCCCAGCTGGGAAATAGGGGAAGGACCCTGTTCTATTCGCACAGCAGGCTCAAATCCCCTGGGAATCCCCATCTAGGGTCAAGATGATTTTCAGCCAGGAATTCTGGCATGTTGATGAGTAAGGCTCCCACCTCCCACTGCAGGTTTCCATGAGGCTGGATACTCACAAATACCACACCATTGAAGATAAACATCATCAGCTTCAGGAAGGAGAAACAACTCATTTTTCTGTATCTGGAACAGGGAGGCAACCAAGAGAGCAGCAAAGGCCAAGGTCAGTCACTGAGCACAGATTGTCAACTGGGCAAAGAGAGCAATCAAGATAGTTTTGACAGCATTTTAGAGAGTCTGTGATGATGGGCGATGAAGGAAACTGCATTTCCACTCACAAGCCGGCCAATGTCCATTGCTACCAGGTAATACTACATTTCCACTCACAAGCCGGCCAATGTCCAGTGCTACCAGTTAATACTAGTTGTTAAGAAATTTGCCAGTGCTTTTCTTACTAGAAGTACAGTAGGACCTCCATATCCACAGGAAATCTGTCCCTAGCCCCCCTCCTGCCCACGGATGCTGAGAAGTGCAGATTATAGTAAACATTGTTTTAATAGTGAATGCTCTGTGGCTCTCTCTAGTAGTCCCCCCTCCTGCCCACGGATGCTGAAAAGTGCAGATTATAGCAAACATTGTTTTAATAGTGAATGCTATATGGCTCTCTCTGGTAGTCAGATCTGGTAACTTCGTATTTAGAAATATTATTTCTTGGATTTTTCTTTTAATGTTTTTAATATTTTCAGATTGTGGATAAGTGAATCAGCAGATACTGATCCCACGGTTACAACGTCCTATTGTAACGTGACTAAAAAGTCTATTTGATTGTGTCTTACCTCTTTTGTCTCACATGGTGTCCAGAATCTTATAACATTTGCACAGTGCAAATCAGACATTATGTAGCTGGTATATGCAATCATGCCCACTATCTGTTGCATGATGAAACACATCCAGTCATGTGTTTGTGCAGCCACACAACAGATGGTATGAGAATTATGAAAATGGCTTGCATGATCGCCTTTACACCTGAACTATCTGGCAATAGACTTTTGGTTGGAACTCTTACGCACCCAGAATTTACACCATGCCATGAGTACTTTGGAAGTAGGCATGGCGTTAAGGGTAAGTCCATGATTAGAAGAGAAAAATCCTTAAGTAATGAAATAGTCTGAGTGACAGAGAAGGTGCTTCTCTCACCTCCAGGATTTTGCAAGTTAGCAAGTTGCAATCTCTCACCTCCAGGATTTTGCAAGTTAGCTTGCTTCCTTTGATGACTAGTCCTCAGCATGGAATTCCTTTGGTGCTTTTGCAGACCTGAGAGACTGCCTCATTCACTTTTCTCCAACACTTGCTTTAACTCTATCACGTCAAACTTGATATCATAGAGTGTCCCTTAAAAACTTAATACACAGCAAAGTTCCTTTTTTTAAAAAAAGAATATGGTAGGTAACTCATTAAGAAGCTCTCTTCCCACAGGGATCCACCAGGGGTCTGCCTCCTGAAACTGGGAGAGCAGTGGAGCCCACTGGCATGTCCCCTTACACAGGCCAGGATTGTGCTGAATCACTCCAGACACCACCCTGCGGAGCAGGGGAAGACAGCTTACCATTTGCCTGTGGGCAATGGCTGAACTTCCTGCTCTGCTGAGCTAATTTGCCAGCATCCTTCTGTTGATCAGCTCTGGCCCTTGTTTTCTTTCTGTTCTGGAGACAAGCAGATGCTGTTGCTTAGAAACACTAGAGCAGCAGTTGTTTTCCTGGAACTGCCTGGCTTTGGTTTCCCATCAGCAAGAGATTACTACCAAAGGTTGTCGCTGTGTTTAAACTTGCGGCATCCTTTAGATTACATTTGCTTTGCTTTGCTTTGGGCTGCCACTCCCAGAATTCCCTAACCAGTATGGCCATGCTGGTTACAGGATTCTGGGATTTATGGTTTTTTTTTAAAACTTTCCCAAGCTCTGTGTTCGATGGGGACCTCAAAAAGTTGGCCAGCTGAGAAACTTGATGAATACTGAAACTTTCCACCAGGATCTGTTAGGCTGGAACTGCATATCAGTGTGACATAAAGACATGCTTTCTGCATCAGAGTGTGCATATTTTAAAAAATAACTATAATACAAAAATGAGATTTAAATTGCCATCATTTGGTAACATGAATGGATATGTACTGGAGGTTATGATGTCTCAACATGAGATGGTACCGTGTGTACACGGTTGAGAACAGTGATTCTCAAATTAGGGCCCCCAGATGTTGTTGGACTGTAACCCCCAGAAATCCTGGCCAGCACCACAAGTGGTGAAGGCTTCTGGGAACTGCAGTTCTAGAACATCTGGGGACCCCAGCTTCAGAACCACGTTGGAGAGTAGGAAGAAAGATCCACACAAGAATGCCGTTTGTGGTGGCAACCCTGAATCTCTTGTTAGTAGTTCTGTCTTTTTAACTGTCAGGGACCTTATTCGAGTTAGGATGCTAACTTGCATCCTGAATCACTCCTTTCCATTTGTTTTTCCTGGTCCTGGTCCTGCAGTTGAACCACCTGCATGGGCTTTAACCTAAGCTTCCCCTTTCCTGATGGACCATCCTTGCTTCCTTCTTGATGGACTCTAGCGTCTTCTGGGTGGAGCCCTTATTCCTCTTCTCTTGGTGTGCGGGTGGGCACTACTTGGTGCCAGAGGAACCTTGATCCTTACTATCAAGGCTTCTGCCTGCACATGTTCCCAATTCTCTTCTCTTTAAGAAATCAGCATTTGTAAAGAAATGTTTCAAAAACCTTTCGAAAAGCTTGAAGAAGGCTTTGAAAATGCCTCAAGTGTTGAGTTTGTTGTCCCCTCATGGCTAGTCTACTCTGGACAGGGACTGTTTTTCACTACAAGGGTTTCTTTCCGCAATGGGTGAGAAAACCTTTTAAAGAATTATCTTCTTGCCTGCTTTTTGTTTGTTTCTTTTTGTGGAATACAGCTAACATTGAAATGACCCAAGAAACTGTTGCTGCCTGAACTCTGACTGGTATTAAACAAATAAACAAACAAAATTACCTGCATGAGTTGTGTGTTTATCTCTCTCTCTCTCTCTCTGTGTGTGTGTGTGTTTAATAGCTTTTACCATTATTTCTTGCTGCTGGACCCAATTTCAGCCTTGTATCATCTGGACAGTGAATACGTACTGATCGTCATCAACAGAATTGGGTATGTATAGGGGAATAAATGTTCCATCTAAATGAGCCCTCTGTATGCACTTCATTAAATACAAAAGGATGATGCCAAGCTTCAAAACCTCTTGCAGGGCAATAGTGGTTACAGACAATCTCTTGCCAGGTCCCACATACTGGGTGCTGCACTTGAGGAAGAAATCAATACAGTACAGTACATGCTACATAAGGTGACTATGTGGAATGAATCTATAAAGAGGAGTGACACTCTGCACGTGATCCAATCCATAGCTTTCTTTGGGCAAAGAAAATCTGTTTCCACAGAAGTGTGACATAGATCTATGGGTTAAGAGCAATTTTTGACACTGACTGACACTGTGGATTTTAACAACTTAGACTCAAGGGAGCAGTTCAGACAGTATTAAAAAAGGTAGTGTACATCTGATAAATTTATTGAGCTCTCATTCTTGAAAGCTTATGCTATAATACACTCCTTACATTTTCAGATGGCAGGAGTATCTTTCATTTGCTGATGTGTCACGTGTTGTGCATGTAGGTGCAATATGTCCTCCTCGGCTGTTTCTTATCCAATCAGTGGTCAGGGTCAGAAGTTTTTCTCATGTTAACACCGTTAAAGTCCTTCATGTGACCCGTACTCTTTTCAACAGCCTTTGCCTTTGGCAGCCTATGACACAGAAAAGGCCAGCACATGAAGAAGAGTATTAGGCTGTTTTCATTGCACAAAGGCAGCAGCGGTGTGGGGTGGGGAGAGACAAAGGGCCTGGCGGGATATCCAAATTCCCAAGGGCCCACTGTTTTTCTTTCGGTCATCTAGCTCTTATTCCACCTGCTACCTGCGTGTCATTCCAGAATAACATAAAAGAGTGAGTCAAATACTTGTTGATCAGGTGACAGAATCCTTGACTGAGGTCTTCACACAGGGCAAAGAAACATTAACTGAGTTGTGTGTAAAGAATAACTCCGAAAACCAGCTGGAAGGCTTTCACGCCTACTCTTTTCTCTCTGGAGAGAGGGCTACTCAGAGGTGCTCTCCTGTCTGGCGTCCCAACTTGGCCTCTGGTAATTCTGGATAAAGATTCTTGAGCAGCATTCAAAACTGTTGTTTGCTCCTTGCACAGTAACCACACATATAAAGGAAATTAAAATTAAAATGTTTTCTTGCTATTCCCCCTGATGTGACATAGTTTATTGCCATGTCCTGTCAGTCCTGCCTTGATTCTGGAAGCCTCAGATGAAAGGGGCAGGAAGACTGAAATGGGTGCTGTGAGAAGCAGGTCTAGATTTTGTTGGCAAAGCAAAAATCGTTGTACACAAGGACTGTTGTACACAAGCAGGAAGACTGAAATGGGTGCTGTGAGAAGAATGTCTAGATTTTGTTGGCAAAGCATAACGTTGTACACAATCACTCGCCTTCCTTTAAACTCATGGCCTTTTAAACATCCTGTGAGAAATGCCGGCAAGGAACCCATATGAGCACTGACTGTGGAAAGGGCCCGGCACCAGAGGGCTTCTTTTATAAATCACCACCCTGAAATTGCACTGATTTTTTTGGCCAGATGACCAGTTGGCACAGGAGGAGGGAAGGCACCTTGCCCTACCATTTTAGCTGCTCTCCACCCTGGACCCTGAGCCACCCTGACTCCTTCTGAGTACCTGAATTGGGGCTCAACCGCTCTTACATTCTGCTTTTTCATGACCAGTGTGTCTTTTGTTGCTAAGCCTCTCTATATTTAAACTTTGTTCCCTATATTTAAACTGGCGGGGAGGAATGGAAAACAATACCTATTCGCCTGTTTCCAAGGCTGGGAGAAAGCTGCTATCTGCAAAAGACCTGGGCACAGAAGGGAGAAATGGCTTGTTCCACCTCTAGTGCACTGAAAACAGTGTTTGGTCTGAGGAAGCCAACAGGGGAAGCTTCCCAGAACAAGGAATGGGATGTTGCCAGCCGTTAATGTCTGCCGCACACAAGTGGCTGTCAAAGGCCAAGCCACAGGGCCACCTTGCTTAAGATATGCCCTTTAAGGCAATCTCCCAAAGCTATTCCAGACAGGTTACTTGTGCTCACTGGGATGCTGCCCATCAGTTTCCCAGTCCTCTTAGGGTGCAGACTAGATCGGGTGGGACACTATCATGGGACCCCATCGTTAATTAGAGGAAAAGGAAGAAGTCCAGTATTAAGTAACCATCCAAGCCAATTAGAACTCAAATGAAGGCAACTGACATGCAAACACGGGCATGATGGGAAGTGCCTTTTGAATGGTCCTGTCTAAACATGGATGGCGTTATTTATCCAGGCTGCACGTGTTGAATTCCCTCTTTGCACACCTCTATGACAGTTGCAGGACAGTTATGGTCCTTTTTTGTGCCACCTCATACCCTTGATCAGGCCGGCTGGGCACATCTTTGCACTCTGTGTCTAGGTAAAATGCAGCTTGCTTACCTTTTGCAGGTTTCCAGCTATAAAACGTGTCTCCCAGTGGCCCCGGCACTTGCAATGCTTCTGTCTGCT